CCGGTTTTCCTAATAAGTTTTAATTAGTTATAAAATAAAATAACTGTTCCTAGAAAAGGCTATTTTTTTCTCGAATAACATAATTGATCCCGGAAAATTAGCAAGTCATGGCACCGTCTTTTAACCTTAGATTCTTTGAGCAGCTATGTGGGTTTTTAGTAGTTTAATGTACTTACTTCTTTACCATCATGACTTTCCGGCTTTCTCTTCGGTTTATGGTAGCTAGAGGCAATGTGCAACTTTTGTTTATTAAGGGATTAATTCGATAAATCTATAAAAGAAAACAGTTCAGATTAAGGATATGTAAGCGTTGCTTTATGTAAATAAATAAGAATATACAATTTGAGCTGTTTATCCATACTAAAGATTGACTACTTTTATCGACTGTCTTTTACGGAAAACATCATCTGGAACAATGTATCTGTAATCTCATTATCTCAGACCACAAGGACGACAGGCATTATCTTCCATTGAAAAAAAGTATAAAAACGTTTGTAAAAGTAATATTCTTTACAACGTATAATTGTCGTTCCAAAATAATACTGTTATCAACATGTCTACCCGAATATGACAAGATTTTTTTTAATGTAAAAATGAAGATCAGTTATTAACAATCATCAAAGAAAATAATACATGTAAAAAGTGTACAGGAAAACTTGATTATGAATTATGTTTCAGAATATTCAAAACATCCATTATATAAATTCCAGTTGAAAGCAAAACAGTCGTCCGATGTTATATATAAATTATTTTTGTGAAATCTTTTTCATAATATCAGTGTTTTGTGCAGTTAAATCCTATGTTAAAGTGAGACCACATAACTGCTCAGTGAGCCTTAGATTGAAAGACTTGCTAATTTTCCGAGATCAATTATGTTATTCGAGAAAAAACGAAAAGTTGACGGATACGGGTATGATTTTCCGTGCACATCTGTATTATCTATTAAATATCCATTTAATAATCTAACCATGATTGTTCGCGATATGCATTTACAAATTCATAAGGTTCAATTTTGTTTTTGATAGCTCAAAAAACATAACTGCCTTTTTTTCATTCTTCAATGCACACGCACACACAACCATCACAAACTAAAAGAAACAAGTCGAACAGACCGAAAATGCTTACAGAATATGATGAGGCTTGCAGCACAGCCCACGATGGCGGAGGTGACATGTTTCAACAACAAACAAACCAACAACATTGTTTGCTCGTCTAAGGTAAATCATTGTACATCGATAAAAGTCTTTTGGCTACTACCAGTAAAACATTTCAGCCCTATTTTCAAGGTAATTTGGACGAGATTTAGATGAAACAATTGAAATGCTAAAATACGTCATATACTGTGCAATGTGATAATTACTGATTCATTATCTCCTCATTGAACATATATACACTTGTACTATGCACCGTTAAGCATCACGTAAACATTACTTAAGGGTGCATTCTCCTCATTTTAGAAAAATCTCCATTTTTCAAACAAACACGATGCATGATAGAATGATGTATGCTCTGTAAAATAACAAGATCACTCCTGGCTCTCCACAGTTCTGGGGGTATACGAATTTCCAAAGTTTGTCACTGTACTCTAAAAAAACTCTATTTTCTAACATTCGAGAATTTTTTTCTTTATTTCGATAGTTGAAAGTTTTTTCAAATAGTCAGTGTTGTGGAGTGCAGAGTTCTGACCAAAATGGGATGTTACCCAATTCTACACAATATTTTCTGATAGAGTTATGATTATTTTGCTGAAAACCCCCAAAAAATGTAATTTTTTTTTTACATCTCAAATAGATACCGTAAGAACAGGCGTACAACTACTCAATTTAAGCGTGAAAGTTTAATGGATACTTTAATGTATAAACGTTAACAAGTAGATAGTCCAAGTCTTTCGAATGATCATAATTAAATTAAGAAAAATCAACGACTAATTCTTTCTCACAAAACCTTCAATATTCCGAGGTCAGTTTGGATCTCTTTGTCTCTCTCTCTCTCGCTCGTGATAGAAACACGATAGTAATAAGAAGCACTTTTATGTTATTCTCTGACTACATGCGTTAGGTGTGTCTGTCTTACTTATTATTATACTAGCAATTTTCGCTTGTTGAACAGTCAAAATGATGTAATGGGTCTATTCCTTTTTTTGGCTGTTCTAAATTTATTCAATGAAAATTCTTTTCTTTTTCTTCTTTTTACAAATAAACCTTAAACTAATAAGAAGCAAATATCATAGTATTCGGAGAAAAGTTTGAAAATTCTGATAGTAAAAACTAATTTAAATTAAGTTTTTTTCCACCTTATCATGAAACGAAATATAAATACATGCTCTGTTCAAATAAAGCATTCGTTTGTTGGCTATGTTATGAATTTGTCAAAAAGAGAGATTACAGGAAAAATAATCAAAATATGAGTACCAAAAACACGACAAGATGATGATAGTGGATCGAAAAATGACAAATTGCGAGTCATTTCTAGTATTCTTGTCTTGTTCGATCCCCTATCGTATAGTAAAGACCAAAATAGTGAAAAAGAATGTCAGTATCTTCACACTGCATGTTTAAACAAATCGAATAGGCAAATGATGGATCATGAAAACTGGAAGGATTTTGACAATATTAAATCATGAATTTCCTGATGATAAAGTATCACAAATACCATTGTAACACAAATTGTAAAACAAATCAACAAAACAAGTTATAGCTATTTCATACAAATGACTGCACTTATTCACTTCTATTCATCATAAATTGTTGTGTTTATTATTTTCAGAAGAACAGACGAACATTCAAGAACTATCGAACTGAAGAAACAGACGATAACATTCAAAAGCGGAGATGATAACATCATCAGCTATCAAAATATGAAAGTATCGGGTGATGCAGATAAAATTGGACAGTTTTCGTTATGTTTGAGGCACTGGCCAGTAGTCTAAAGAGTTCGTTCTAAGCTCAATCGATAGAAAATTGAATTGTCTACAAAACCTGCTATTTGAATCTCTGATAGCATTTTTCTGATTTGAGCATCATTCAAAATATTGAAGGGTGCTGAACTGTCAAACTGCCATGTGCTTTTGTCGTCTCCTTTCCTGAGATGTTTAGCCTATTGTCTGGGGTTCAATAGTTAATTTTTCTACGTAGAAAGATAGAGAATTTTGTGTTCTATCGATCTCACTCATTTACAACTTCATATAATGTTTCTGCTACGTCAGCTGGACTCATTGAGTTCTGGACCGACTTTTCAATTTTTTCAAATTAAATTTTCTTAATTAATTATTTCAATTGAGAAACTTTGTTTATATATCAAAAGTTGCAGAATTTAATTCTGTATAAGATAATAAGACCCTGAATTCAGAACGTTTTACTGTTTTTATCGTAAAAAAACTAAAGTCTATGAAAAATAGGTTCAAAAGTTCGGCTTTTTAAATTTATCAGTTTTTTGCACAGAGAGATTTTTCCTAGAAGAATTAACTTGAAAATTTCGAAAAATATGTGAGAAGATGCAGAATTTTCCGTTGAATTTTCTGACGTTTTCAAAATTCTTATGGAATCTGTTTTTAAATCAAGGCAAATATTTTTCAATTTCAGTGTGTCGTAGTTCGACAACTCAGCACCCTTCAATATTTTGAATGATGCTCAAACGAGAAAAATGCTATCAGAGATTCAAATAGCTGGTTTTGTAGACAATTCAATTTTCTATCGATTGAGCTTAGAACGAACTCTTTGGACTACTCAGCAGTCTCTCAAACACAACGAACAAAAAATGTCCAATTTTATCTGTGCCACTCGATAGATTATTATTTCTGAAGAGATGGAAAAACGAAGCAAAAGTCTGTCTGCATAAATGCTGTTTCTTCCAGAAGTTCATTAGTTTTCAATCGTACGAATTTCATTTTCAATTTATAAACTTGATCCTATTGAGAATTCTAATTGTGGTGACTATCAAATAAACGAGATATCTATCATCAACTATTTCTTTCCATGTAGCTATCAGTTTCTTATTTTCTTCAAAATAAAAAAATAATTTATTTTATTTCATCCAAGTGTTATACAGCATATATCGTCAGTACAGTTGAGTTTCTAATCAAAGAAAAACGTCAAGATCTGACAGAATTCTAACCATAAACTTTATAGTCTAGTTATTTACAAACTTTTCCGTTACATACCTTAGACTTAATCATCAAATTTCATCTTTTATTGTAAGAAAAAAAACTGGCATGCTACAGAGAACAGACGATCAACTGAAAGAAAATGTACATTGCTTTTGTTTCACATATATTTAGAAAACAAAGAATAGATAAATAGCTGACATACTTCATTCATAGAATTACGAACAAGGAGAGAAAACTATGAAAATACAAGTTTGTACATATTTAAAAATAGAATGGGAAAAAACGAAAAAAAGAAATATGATTGATGGAATGTGTTTTTTATCCATCATATTTCCATATCTTTACATTTAATATAAAAGATCTTTTTCGTAGTAAGTCTTGTTCTGATCGTTGACTACTTTTTCTCATCGCTCAAAAGTGGAAAGACAAAAGTTTTGGACAAGAAATTTTTTTAAAAGTATGATTTAGTCAAATATCTAGTTAAACTTAGTTCAGTTTTTTTTTTCTCATATTTTAGGATACGTTCGATTTCTAGAATGTAGAGATATTTGTAAAATTCTAATATCCTTTCAACTGTAAATGCAACTTCTGGAAGGCAATGTAAAAGAAAATTGTTGAAAAAATATAAAAAAATATAAAGAACGAAAAAAAAGAGCAGCACGTTAAATAAAAGCAAGAAAAATGTTTGGAGCATGCGAGTATATTATAATTGAAAAACTGTTTTAAATGTATCTTGGGTTATTTCAATAATGTTATTAACATTTCCGAGTGCTGAAAGAGAAGAAAAAAATGAGTAAGTATCGTCTAAAAAGCGCACCAAATAATCGTTCTTAAGAAAAATAACAGTTCAGCAATTTGTATATATGTATTGAATTCATAATTTGATAATGGTTATTTAAACAGATTGATATCCCTAAAAATAAAAATAATAAAAAAAAAAATAATAAAAGATTAAAACAGAGATCTATTAGACACTTACATCACGTTGTTTTCGTCTACCAATTAAATAAGCAATAAGCACGATAACTACGAGTACAGCCAAACAAATACCGACAATAATTGGCACCAAATTTGAACTTTTATTTTTATCACCTCCACAAACTTCCTCTAAAATAGAAAAATAGAAGATCATAAAATATACAAAAAAATCTTATATTATATCCTAAGTTAGATAAAATAGTAAAACTCTTTTTCAGTTTTTATTCCATTTTCTCTATTCTTTAACATAATTTAAAAGATTTAGAAAAATATATCTTCTTGATTAAGTAAAATATCGATATAATCGAAGATTGACTCAAACTATATGGAGTGTTTGAGAATATAAACATCATTGTAAACAATCTTCCACTATAATCTCTAATCACAGCTATTATTCAAATCGAATTACTTACCAACACCATAACCCGAAAATGGTTTTGAACTATCATAAAATGATTGTATATGAACATCTTGCAAACCCAGTGTTATTGTGACATTTCTTTGCATATCAAATGCAACTGTTGTTCTAGTATTACAACGATAAGATTTAGTTTGATCCGTTGAGAATAAAGAGACATTTTTTGTCGCCGTATATGTTTTTCCTAAGATAAAACAAATCTATTTTATAACAATCAATTTGAGATAGTTTGGTTACCTAGTACACTTGGATCAGCATTTGGAAATAATTCATCATCAAAGATAATGGAAACACTGGTCTGGTATAATGATGCCATATTTTTATTTAAATGAAAATATAATTCAACATGCCAGAGATTCATGTTCATAAAGATTTGCAATTTATGTGTTGTATTATCACCTCCTTCATCACAACTTCCCCTATATATTGAATAAGTTGAATTATCAAGAACGAAATTAACTGTGCTGTATGACTAAATAGGACAAGAATAATCAAAATTAAAAAATATTTCATGTAAGTAACATTTATTCTACATACGCCATTTTTTTCCGGATATTTCACATCAAAATCAAGTTTAAATTGCCCAACAAAACAATTGTTAGGTGAATCTGGCGGCAACGTAAAATTACTAGGAACTACATTTGACTTAAAATAATAAAATCATTAACAATATAGGAGAGAAAAAAACAAATTAAATACAACTCTTACTTCTACTGTTAAAATAGAAACAAGGCAGAACCATCCTAAAAAAAGTGAAAAAAGATTATATCATTATTCTTTGTAATAAATGCAAAATAAAATCACTCACCATAATACAGAAAAATTGATTTTTGATTTAATAACATTTTCTTTTTAAGTCGATTTAATAGTGTAATAAATCGTGAATATATTTGAGAAATATCTAAAACACAATATAACCAACCAATGTTACATCAAAGTTTAGCTGTAGAAAGCACGAACACATGTATGTTATAAAGTTGAGTTTAACTAATTTATATAATAATTATTTTCCCGAAAAAATTTTCTTCTGATCTATGTCATTACTATATATTTTGAAACTCACACATTTTATATCTGACCAAACATCTTTATCTTTTGTAACCATGCTAGAATTAAAAATCATCTCTACAAGTTTTCTTTTTGTTTTCAAAATTAGATATGTGGCGTTGCTTTTTCTTTCATTTGTAACAAGTAAGAAAAAATAAAAAACTGTTTACCTTGTTACTTTATTATTTGGACTTTTACTTTCTTAGTTCATCAAAAAGCAATAACAAAAGTGCTAAAAGTAAGTTACAATTTTGTTATTTATTACTATATCGATTAAAGTAGGCAACTGGAAACAGTCATATACTATCTCTATTGGGAAAATGCAATTATGAAAAGCAAAATGTGTGACTATTTGATTTTATTAGTTTTTCACACAGTCAATATATTGCTCATATTTAAGGTTAACACGAAAACCCAGTAAATCAAGAAGTTATTTCTTGAACTCATGGAAATTACGATTAGTGTATGACAAAAAGTTATAGAGAGATATAGCATGTTACAGTTCGGAGTACATCATAAACAACACACACATTGCAATCTTCTTTCTTTGTTTCTACAACAAACGTTAATAAGAAAATAAGACAACTATGTTGCCTACTAATGCATAAAAAATGTGCGTCTTATTCATAAAAACAAAAATTTAGATATCACTCGTCATTTTTTATTCTCAATATTTTCTTCTGATGAGTAAGAACAGGTTAACACCATTACAATAATTAACATACATCTGTACATTAGAATAATAGAATTCATAACAAAAATAAAAATAGTTTTACGATGAACAAATTCTTTTTCTACTATTGCTGCAAATATTTTATCTTTTACCGTCACTTTTTTTTTTTTTCGTTTTTTCTGCATAAAAAATGCAAAAAAAAGAACGTGAGCCGAGATAGCGACCGATTTATGTTTGTTTTTCTTCATACTCACATATACTCATGTTACTTTTTTTCTGACTCATTCACGTTCTTTCAACCACTATCTTCGACGATATATAACCTTTTCAGCTGAAAAAGAAAATTGAATAGTCTCTTCTAGAAAGCTGATGCATGTTATCTTAACTGACGAACTTTTATCTAAATCTGATAAGACAAAGTCATACAAGGACGAATGAACAAATGCTGAGATTGTTGGGTAATCAAAATTTATTCTTTTGATACCCATAATATGGTTAGAAATAGAGTTGAGCAGTTCTCAAATGAGAGTGATAAGCTAAAACATGTGTATAAAGATAAATATATACCCACAGTGAATGTACTCTCGCATGAATAATGTCATGAGTAAACATAAAAATTATTAGTTAGGAGAATATGTTTTAGTGTTCACGGTTAGTTTTTTAAGTATAAAAGATTAGTTTTATTAAATAATGGCGGATAGGCAGTCTATCCACCATAGATGTCATAGGCTGTATGCATAGGCGGCGGAGCCTGTAGACTAGGGTAAGCTTCAGCCTATCCTAGATTTTCTAATAAAAAATCTTTTTGTGTTATTTTCGATATTAAATGTTGAGCCAATTCGTTCGGCCGCCTATGGCTGTATGTCACCGACCACTGTGGCATTTCTATTTATCAAATAGTTCGATTTTGCACAGATGAGGAGAGTTATCGATAAACTAGTGGAAATAAACTAAGAAATATCAAAAATATCTATACAGTAGATAGGTAGGCAAAATAAACAGTGATAAGAAACATGAATGAGAACTGAGCTAGAGGTTTTTAAGTTATTACACTATGATGAGATTTCATTAGCAACGAAAAAGGCAGAAAAATAGTTAAAAAGCGAAAAGCAACGCACAACGATAATAAATTTTAAGATCATGCATTTCACGATTTGTGAAAGATGGAGGCAAAAACGCAGGAAAGAAGTTCATTTATAATGTAGATAAACTACTTCTCAATGCAGCGAGCAGAGAGGTAAAATGACAGATTTAACGATCTGAAAAGGTTAAAAAGTTTTTTTTGAAGGAACCAAAACGATATCGTGTAACTGCAACCGTTTCTGTCTTTCGAAATGTTTATTGTGTACGAATGAGTTTAAACACAGAAACTAATATCAGTAAATCCACATTTTAATATATTTTTTCAGATTCCTTCAAAGAAATGTACAAAATAAAAAACAAGTCTTATTGTACCTGAGATGATTTTGTCACGTAACGACAAAGTGAATGTAGCTTATCCTAACACTCGCTTCTTCTATTCAAGACAAGTAAAATATCGGAGCAAAATTATATTTCATAATATATAAAGATGGCAGCTGAAGATGAGTCATTCTTCAGTTATCAGAACCAATGAGTAGAGATAGTTCAAAAGACTGCATACATGTTTTGACTGTGCCCCATTGATTTTTTTTATGTGCCTTTCCGTTTGCGTTTATACTACTTAGAACTGCGAGAATACGAAAGAGTAACTAATATCTCATACAATGTCGTACGCTTTTTGACCTTTTTGAAACTGGATAATTGTGTTTGACCAATTGCAAAAATCCTCGTCACTCAACTGCCTGGCTTCAGCTCCTAGATTACGAATATATTACTATATACCGTATTACTTCTCTTTTACAACTAAACCATGTTTTTGAACTTAGTATTCAAAGTAACATGAAATCTGTTTACCCGCTCATCTTGGATTCTTTTAGATATTAGAAACATCCTTCAAGAGTAGCCACAGTATTAGAACAACAGAAGAATGATTCGTGATCTGATTATTTTCGTATGTATCATCATACTAACAATAAGAACTCAAGCGAAAGAATACGCAGAAGAAGACAGTGTCCTTGTCTTAACCAAAGATACATTCAATGATGCAATCAAAGAACATAAACATGTTTTGGTCGAATTTTATGCACCATGGTGGTAAGTGGATTCTCGTCGCATTTTCTTTCGGCTGATATTCGAATTGTTAGTTCAAGCTAATCTTTTATCGAATAACGTATTAATGTATTTTGATTCACTGATTTAGTATAATAAAAACACATGAGTCACATACTACAAAGGATTTTATGACACATTTATTGTTGCGAGAAAGCTAAGCTGAAGTGCAACAGTATGAGAAAGAACGTACACTATCCACTGTTTATTTCGAACTAATGATCTGTGTTGCTTCTAGTGGACATTGTAAACAGCTTGCTCCTGCATATGCTGCCGCAGCTGCACAATTGAAAGCAAGTGACAGTGATATAAAACTGGCTAAAGTTGACGCTACAGCACAAGCAGATTTAGCTCAGAAATATGAAGTTAAAGGTTATCCAACGATTAAATTTTTCTCTGATTCATCCATCTTCGAATACACAGGTGGTCGAACAGCTGATGATATTGTTAATTGGTTGAAGAAGAAAACAGGTCCAGCTGCACCAGAATTGAACACATTAGAAGAATTAAAAACGTTGAAAGAAGGAAATCAAGTCGTCGTTATTGGAGCATTCAAAGTATGCATGACTTTTGATACTAAAAGACTCCTTTAGGTTATTCTGTATTACGTTTGTTTCAGAAAACCAACAGCGATTCTGCTGCAGCCTTCTTACAAGTTGCTAAAAGTCAAGATGACCTTCCATTTGCTATTACATCCAATGCTGACATATTAAAAGAATTAGATATCCGAGCTGATACTGTTGTTCTCTTAAAAAAGGTAAATTTGTTCACCTTATTTACTTATTTATACAAACACTTCTTATAATTTTAGTTTGACGAAGAACGAAACGATTTAACATCGGATATCACTGAGAGTACAATTCGTGAATTCATTCAAGCAAATCAGATGCCAATGGTTGTCGAATTCAACGCAGAGGTATAAAGGAGTTTGTTTGAACCGCCTTATTAGTGACAAGTCAAGAGACTTGGTCACTTAGACTTTATAAAATTCCTTTCGTAGTAAATGTACATTTTTTTCGTTAAATGCTGATAGTTGTTGAAAATGAGTCAGAAAAATTCAATCTTTTTTCATCGCGGTATTTATACAATAATAACTTTCAAAATTTTTATGCGTCATTCTACTTTTATAATATTTATTTTTATAATTATTTTTGTTGTTCGATTTAGTCCGCTCAAAAAATATTTGGTGGAGATATCCAAGTCCATATTTTACTGTTCGTTGGGAAAAACAATGATCAGTATGAAAAATTACAAGAACAATTCAAAGGAGCTGCAAAACTTTTTCGCGGCAAAGTAAGTTGTAGTTTATTCGAGTAAGTTTGAGACTGTTTTTTTGTAACTCTGTTTCTTGGTGACTTTAGACATTATTCGTATCAATTGATACCGATGATGAAGAAAACGATCGTGTGCTTGAATTTTTCGGTCTCAAACAATCAGATGTACCAGCTTTACGTTTAATAACATTAAAAGATGAAATGACCAAATTTAAACCAGAATCAAATGAGATAACAACTGATGCGATAAAAACATTTGTACAAGCATTTTTTGATGGTAAATTAAAAGCACATTTATTAACACAAGATCTACCAGATGACTGGGATAAAACTCCAGTTAAAACATTAGTTGGAACAAATTTTCATGAAATCGCCAAAGATAAAAGCAAAACAGTTTTGGTTGAATTTTATGCACCATGGTGTAAGCAGATAGTTTTTATCTCGCAATATTTCTTTTATCATTTATTCCTTTCTGTTCGAAGGTGGTCATTGTAAAGCTCTTTTTCCTATTTGGGATCAACTTGGTGAGAAATACCGAGATCAAAGCGATATTATTATTGCCAAAATTGATTCGACTGCAAATGAATTAGAAGATGTTAAAGTTCAAAGTTTTCCAACAATAAAGTGAGTATTTAATTATCAAAAATTAAAAAAGAAGAAAAACGTATTTAAAAAACCAATGAAAACAAAAATATTAATTTTTTTATTTCTTTAGAATGTTTCCAAAGGATTCTGATGAAGTTATTGATTACAATGGTGAACGAACAGTAGACGGTTTCTCAAAATTTATCGATAGTAATGGTAAAGATGGTGGTAAAGTTTCTGATAAGGTAAATTGTTATTTTTATTTCTTTGTACGTTGGAATTATATGTCGACTATTTTCTGTTCAGACCGCCGAACATGTGGAAGAAGCTGGTGAAGAAGAAGAACCGTCCACTGATCCCTCGTCTCATGAAGATTTGTAATTTAACATATTTTTTACTATTTGAAAGTTTTTGATTTTTGCGGACTATTTGAACTATGAATTAAGTGAGTTTACTGTTTGTTTTTATCCAGAAAATGAGACTACACAGTGTGTATCAACTTTTCTGCGAGAAGAGAATCATTTTCTAAGTTTTCTTCTTTCTCAACTGATACATTAGTTTTCTTTGTTTTTATCTATTTATCGTTTACAACTCTAGTTATTAGAGAACCTAAATCAAAACGCTTGAGTTATTTTGTGTCTTTTAAATAACAGTTTTTATTTATGCTTATTTAACTTTACTACTATCATTGTTAACGTATCTCAATTTTGTTTTATTTATTTCTTCTATTGTTTTGTTATCATTTTCTGATCTTTTTTTTCTTCACCTTCTCTAAACAGTGACAAAGAGAATGCAATGCAATGAATTACGACTTTCATTTAGTACTAGCTCACTAGTACATTCTAGAATGACAGCATTGTTAAAAAGATTTATGATTTCTCATACAGCACAATCAAAAAAGTTAATGTTTTACAATTTTTTATCTCAAACAAACATCGCTTCCAGTGCAATCTATAATTTCTTCAGTGTTTCACTTCTATATAAAGGAACAGTGTATTTGGAAAATACATTATTTTTGTTTTTTTATGTTTTTTTGTTACCGATTTCTTGAAAAGAAAATTCAAAAACGATGTTTTTTTTCGACTTTTTGTTGTGTTTTTTGAAGTGTTTTAGACGAGACGGGTCCAAATAAAAGAATAAACAATTCATGCTGCTAATTTGCTCACATAACGCATAGCGGAATATTTTGAATTGAGTCTCTGAGATTTGGGCGAAATATATGTCACCAAATAAAGCTAAGCGTATTGATTTCAAACATAATACGATTAGCTGTCACTGGTAGACAGTTACTGATCTAAGATAGCTCGGAGTATTTATTGCTCAAAAAGATTCTGTTTTCAATCGACTATATTTTCTGATGAACACGTTGCTTACATCGTTCAACTATATTGGTAACGTATATTTTTTTCCAAATAACAGAGGCATACTTCGGTATCTTCCCGTACAATGTTACTACTATGATCAGGTAAAAAGTGATAAAAAATGTACTTGTATTCAACCTTTTTACACATCTAAAATTTCATGCCTATATCACACATAAAAAAATGTTAGTAAACTAATAAGACATTTCTATGAGAATTTTTTTGCCACTATAACATGACATTTGTATAAAACTGATCGCACTTGATTGAACGTTTATTATTTCGCGTTTACATTCTTATATAAAGTCTTCTTAACTCAAGTTCTAAATAATAACTTCAATTGTAAACCATTGATCTTTTTAGAAAATTCATATATTACATCGACGACATTCTCGGAAATGTCAGAAAGTCTGATGAATAAAAAATTCCGAAACGGTTTTCGTCTTTTAGGTATTTCCGTTGACCAAAAACTCACAGAAGCCTCAGAAAGGTCTCATTTTGTTCACAATTTGATTGTTTATCGATCTGAACTATTCTGAAAAGGTTTTCTGGAGACCAGGTCTCTAGAAAACTCTTGAGAAGGTTTTGATAATTATAAAACCATTTTCATTGGGTTCGCCATCATGTTTACCTATTACAGCATATTTCTGTCAATTTAAAACTGAATTGAAACAAACTGAATTTTTTGTGCCACAATGACTTGAAAGATTTTGGCGTTTTTTTATTGCAGATGCTATATCCTCTTAAGAAAACTTTTTTTAAAAAAGCGATGCATATTCTTGTAGAGCGCGACGCGGCGGTTCTAGCCACGTAAGAATCATAGAGTTATCTATTAACACAAAAAAATAGATAGGTTTACAAAGTTGGTGGGTCAGAAATAAGTATTAATGGTGGAAAAATTTCTGCGCCACCCGCATAATTTTTGAACTGGCTTGAACATCACTCTTAGATGAACCTCGACGCGAGGATTCGAAAAATGGCCTCGGCAAATCGGAAAAGTAAAGTGGGAGGGGGATAATCGCATTTTTCTGTTGCATCAACTTTTGCGATTTTTGATGTATACTCAGTGTTTTGCGTTTTTCTCCACCTAAACTCGGTCCAAACTAAAAAGCAAGACCGGATCCGTGATCAGTAGCATGTGACGAATGGGGATATGTGTCGTTTATCCAAAACTCGAAAGTGCTAAAACTTTGAATTAGGCGAGCCTTACATTGTAATTTCTTTTGCAGTTCAAAAATTAACTGAATACCAGATATCTTTGTATAGTGTACACATAACAACTACATCGAATAAACGAGTACTTTTTAATGTTTTACATGACAGACAAATAAAAATAAAAGGGAAAAAGAGGATAGTTGTTTGATATGTTTTATAAATCGAACAGATTCTGTATTTCATAAGAAAAACGTTGCCTGCAATAAAAACGCGCTAAATCTACACTGAAAGAGTGTACAATAGATGTACAGAAAACGAACAGCTTGGCCACATAACTCTGCTATCGCAGTGTGATTTTATCGGAGTTTTTCTGCATTTTATCTCTCTTACAGCTTTCGAATCAAAATACTTTCAGAGCTTTAAAACATCTTAAATTGAAGGAAAAGTGTTCTCAATACTTTGAGATGTTCCCGCACTCCAGACGTTCTTTTGTTTAGGCAATATTGCAAAAATATTATTTTGAACACACTTTTATCTTCAATTTAAGATGCTTCAGAGCTCTGAAAATATTTTGGCTCGAAAATTGTAAGAGAAACAAAATATAGGAAAAACTGTGACGAAATGACACCGCGGTAGCATAGTTACATGGCCAAACCGAGAAGGCATTAAAATCTCTTTAGTTCTATTAAACATATAAATACACAGATCTTTATATTTTTCTTGATCGTGGACATGTGCTAATTAATTCATCTACAATGGTTGGATCGGTCAATGTTGACGTATCACCCAAATTTTCAATATCCGGTTCGGCTATTTTTCGTAGTATTCTTCTCATTATTTTACCACTTCTAGTCTTGGGTAAATCTGGAGTAAAATGAATTACATCAGGATAAACATGAGCGCCTATATGTTCTTTCACGAAAGTAATAAGTTCTTGTTTATCAGTTTCTTTTTGATTATTTCTCAAAGTCTAAAATATTCAAATATTATGTGAATTAGTTTATATAAAAGACAGAAAATATATTTTAAGAAAGATTTCATGATCGATATGACAAATCGTCTAACACTCGAAAAACTATTTTTTGGATGCAAAGTGTCCAGTACAATTTCCACCTACTAAATAGCTAAGAAATGATAAATTTCAGTCATTTATGTCACTTTGTGCTTGAGTTATGATTACTTTTGGTGCGTCACAAGTCTCGCGTGTTAGATCCATAGTAGTTTAAGAAAAGCCTCTTGTTCACAAGTAAAATTAAACTATTAAAAAATGATATAGTCCTAATCTGTGAACAAAACAGCATCTAATGAGATGTAACTCGATGGGCATAGTTGAATAAAGATACCTCTTAGTGCATCTTCTATAAATGTGACGTCTCATGCGACTTTTTAGATACTTGCTCTTGAGTAGGATTTCAATTTTTATAGTCATTTTTTTTATGGGTAGTGAACTGTTCAACTCGAAACGTCAATTCTTTAAAAATAGAAGAAAAATAATTTTGGAAACATATTACGGTAAATTTATTCATTCGCTTGCTTGAGTACAAGTGACGTACGTATGTTTCGATGATTATACGATTGATTCGTTCGAAACTTTCACTAAAAACTATATTTCTCAGTGTTTGAATTACTAAGAAAAATATTCTGGATTCCTGGAATTGATTATACTTTTTGATGGGACATCAAAAACATAATGATTTCTGGAAATCCAGAGTGTTTGAGAAACTAGAGTTTTGTCTTTTGACGCTAGCAGATGTCAGGAGACATACAATTAAATCAGTTATAAGGTTTTCGATACTATCCGGCTTTCCTTCATCAACTGTTGATATAGTTAAAATTGAGACAGAACAACTACATTTCATTTCAAAGTGTTAAAGAGAAAGAGCGATTGAATTTTAATGTGAATACAAATTTTAAGTTTAAGATTTTGTCGAAGTGTATTTGGAAGTGCAAAAAACAATCTATTTTGGCGATATTTCTTGGAGAAGTTGTAACTCGAGACTAGAATAATCTAGAAAGCTGGAATTTATCATTGCTAAACTATTTTAAACATAGAGTCATACTGAATACTTCATATTCTTAGAATAATTTTCAACGTGTTATACGTTGATTGGTCTTCCACGATTGGCTGTAGAACCCCTCTTAAAAGGTATCGAGCGAATAGCAAATAGCTGCAAAAAAATGAACTATTTACCACAAAACAATACATTCCTTGATTCTTTTTTGGATCGGGGTAGCCGACAACGGCAGCTTCTGAAACGGCTGGATGAAGGACTAACGCAGATTCAACTTCGGCTGTTCCTATATTGTGACCAGAAATGACTAACACATCGTCAACACGGCCCGTAAGCCAATGATAGCCATTTTCTTTAATTTCACATCCATCACCAGTAAAATAAAGACCTAATATGATGAAAAATATACATAGGATGCAATGAGAAGAAAAGTAATGTATAAAAATGAGATATTACCCCGGTATGGTTTAAAATACACATCAACAAAATGTTCATGCTTATTGTAAATAGAACGCGCTTGCCCGGGCCATGAATCTTTGATACAAAGTTCGCCTGTACATGGTGGTGTCAATAAATTATGCGTTTCTCTATCAACAATTTGTGTTTGTATGCCAAAAAATGGAAGTGTTGCTGAACCCGCCTGTAATTCTGTAACGTATGGTATCGGGGTAATCATGAAACCACCTATAGTGCTAAAAGTTAGGCTTTATCACGACAGAATTTTTTCTCTCACCAGTTTCTGTCTGCCAGTAAGTATCAACGATAGGACATCTTTCATCACCTAAAAATACGAAGTAGAAATAAAACAACAACAGACGTAACGAAAGATTGTGCAATTTATTGATCATTGCTCACCAACTACGCGATGATACCATCTCCAAGCTTCTGGATTGATTGGTTCTCCAACAGTTCCTAATAGTCTTAGACTCTTTCTACTTGTTTGTGTTACATAGTCATCCCTGTGTGTCATTAACGAACGAATAGCTGTTGGTGCTGTGTAAAAGATGTTGACCTGATGTTTATCGATCACTTTCCAAAACCGTGAGGCATCAGGATATGTCTTAAATATAAAGAAATACTGTGAATTTTCAATTCCGCACACGGAGACTGGATGAAAAATATAAATCTCAACGATATCTTATAGCTATTGACTGCTTGAGGTCAAACAAATGAGCTCGTTATAAGTAAGTAACTCACTGGAATTCCTTCGAAGACTACACTAGTTGCTCTATTTGATAACGGACCGTAAACAACATAAGAATGACCAGTAATCCAACCTATATCAGCCGTACACATGTAAATTTCCCCTGGATTATAAGCAAACACATATTGAAATGTTAATGATACATAAACTAGATAACCACCAGTCGTATGCAATATTCCTTTTGGTTTTCCTGTTGAACCAGATGTGTAAAGAATGAATAGCGGATCTTCGGCATTCATCGGCTCGGGCGGACAAACATTTGACACGTTTTCCATTTCTTGATGGTACCAATAATCACGTCCATTTATCCATTCAAATGTTGATGAAAGTGGTATGTTTACATTTTGAGCATCTCGTCCTTGATTAATAACAATAACGGTTTTAATTTGGAACGGATGTAGTTGTTTTAATGCTTGATCAGTCTTTGATTTTAATGGTGTACATTTACCTCCTCGAAAACTAAAATCACTTGTGATAATAATAGACGAGTTACAATCACTAATACGTTCAGCCAAGTTATTTGCACTAAATCCAGCGAATACAACCGAGTGCACAGCCCCAATTCTTGCACACGCCAGTAATGCAATACATGCTTCTAATATCATTGGCAAGTAGATTGTTACACGATCTCCCTTCTTCACACCATGTTTTTTCAACACATTTCCAAATTTTTTTACTTGTTCAAGTAATTCACCGTATGTTAAATGTTTTACAGTTCCATTTATTTCATCGGGTTCAAATATAAATGCAGTTTGTTTCGCAACTGAGGAATCATGCTCAATGTGTTTATCAAGACAATTAAAACAAACATTTAAAATACCATCCTCATACCATTTAATTAAGATGTTCTTATCTGATAGATGGTCGAAGGATGTGTTTTTGATAATTGTGGGAAATTTTAACCACTTTAAACGTTTGGCAGCTAATGTCCAGAATATATCCGGCTTTTCAATGGATAAATTATACAATTCATAATATTGATCGAGAGATGAAATTTTAGTGGGTAGCGAAGTCTGAATGGTAGAAGAAGAAACTGGAGATACGGATGACATGGTTAAAAAGATAATGTTGATATCGATGAAGGTGAGATTATTGTCAGTTTGGTTTCATTTGTTAAATTGGGATGGATAAAAAGATTGTGTCGATGAATTACACGATGTTTCTGTAGTTGATAGTAAAGATGTCTCCGATGTTAAACAATGCAAACAAATTATGACTCAGGTGTGCTGGATTTCACGTTATACAGCACCAGTAACAAATTCTCGAAAAAAATACGAAAAATAACTAGAGTTATGTATACATGTAGAATTCTGCTAGAAGAAATCTCAGTTATCATCAACATCAATATTTCTGGTAATTGAACACTGGAAAGCAGTGAATGTTTCGCTCATCTATCACTAAATCTACCACTGAAACATATTTTAACAAAAGCAAAAGAAAATTAGATAAATCACATATCAAATAGCTATCTCTGATACTGTGGCTACCCTCAACTTGTATAAGAGAAAAAATACAAAGAATCATTTTCGATACTACTTATAATATGGTAACAAATGTTTTATTCTAAGTTTTTTAAACAAATTTATACTAAGCAAAGAAAGAATAAGCTGTATGCAGCATGGTGCACAATTTATCCATAGTCTGAATCAGTACCGCAACATCGATCGAAAACGCATATTTCTTTATTATAGGACACAGTAGACCCTTTTCTACATAAAACTCCTAGGTATTTCTAAAAAACGAATGTAAGGGTTTAATGAGTCAAATTCACCTCCTTATGAGATCGCCACGTTTAGATACTATTTTCTTGCGTTCTGTCTATAGAATGCATATAGTCTATACAGCCAGATTTTAAGTCATTTGATGATCAGACGTGGTGATCTCACCAGGAGGTGAATATGACCCATTAGTGTATAAAAATTCGATTTCACTAAAATACTGCTTAAAATTATCAGCACAACAGTAAATGAGATAATATGGAGTTTCACGGTACCAAAATTATTGTCTAATTCTCTCTACACAAAACAAACTTAACAAGAAAAAACATTTTTTCTTGACAAGATTGACCTTCGACAAAACAGATCAATGAAACTGTGTGAATAATTGAAAGAATTGATTTGTGAGAGACGACAGAAGTTATTTTCTATATATTTCATAGGATTAGATTTTTGATTATTTACGATTCTCCTATGAAGAAAAATAGTGAAGTGTTCGTTCATATTTATCTCATATATTTATCGGAAAAAATGACTTGCTTTTCATAATCTCGACGCTTCTTTGCGTCAATGAACTGAAAACAAAAATTTTTTTTTTCAGAAAAAAGATAATTGAGCTCATTAATCACTTCTTTGTATATTCTTTTTACAATATTTCGTATATTGTACTGAATGCATGAACAAGCATATTTCAACAAAACTCAGCTAAATTAATTTTTAAGTTCCATATACATGCATTTCTCGTTACGTTTGACGCGGCATAGTTAGGTTAGAGTCCAAATAGAAAAAAAGATTTCTGTAAACTGTATCATTTGCTTTTTTCAAATAATTAACGTGTAGCATTTCGTTATTACTGCACAATTTGCTGTTGTCATGACGAATACACAAGAATTCGTTCGAGTTCAACTGTCTTTTTTTAGTATGACAATTTTGAACAAAAATAAAAAATCGAATTTATTTCCTTTATTTTGTAAATTAGCTTAGCTGACAGAGCTAAAATTCACTTTCTAATAGGACGTTTCACCGAATTATGCCCCATGTTATTTATGAGAAGAACCTGGTTAACCAATCCAAATATTTAAATAAAAATAGATTGAGATTGGAAATTTCAATCCATCTAACTTCAAAGCTTCTGTCAAACATTTTTAGAAGTTTCTAAGAAACACTTGTAGGACAGAAAATCATACCGAGTATGAGAGTGCACATTTTCTTCTACACTTTGATGTACTTATCCCCAAAATGAGTTTTTTTCAAAAGATGTAATAATGTTGTAACTGTTATATGTGTTTTTGGTGCACAAAACACTATCGTTAATGTGTCGGTGCTTTCGTTCAACTTTAGAAAATGTTTGTACCAATTATACGGGCGAAAGAACAATTTCAACATCAGAGAAACTTTGACCGAAATAAATGATATGTTACTAAGGAAGCAATCAAGTTGATATTTAATCATCTTGATTGTAAATAATCAGTTTTATCCTTTTTCCTCTCCACTTAAACATCCCATCTACTTGTTTAAAGTAAAAAAGCTTCCGTTTTCAAAAAGACAAGAAAAATGAAAATAGCATAAAGTAAAATAAAGGAACAGAGTTGGAAAGAGCCCCCATACACACGAACTGTTGCAGCCTGGCATGAACATCGGACTAGAATGTGTAACTGACAGCCACAAAGGAATTTTTCCTATTCGCTCTGTTTTCAGTCATCGCATACTGAGAAATGCATCGTCCGTGCTTTAGTAATGACGATGGGGTAAGGTTTCACATATTTTTTTTGTTTTAATAGAAAGAAAACGTTATTTCGTATGAGAAGACATGTTAAAGTGGTAAACTCTCTACCTAGCACAAAATAACTTGCACAACTACCTGCCGAATTATACCGCGAATAGTAACGTTTTTCATTTACCGCATGAAATAAGATGTGAACACACGGCAAAAAAAAGGCTTTTTTCTCATATTGATATGCTTTTTTGTAAACGCCTTTTTTTGCACGCTATCTTACTTCGAACGGGCATTTTGTCCTATATGTTTAACAAACAAACACCTTTTTTTTAGTATGTTTTTTGGGAACGATTAATCGAACGCTATTTTTGCCATGATACGATATTTTAAGAAAATATTTATTTGTGTGGTTTGACAAGTAACAGAAAATTGAATCATGGTACGCACACTTAGTTTGAAATTTTGTTTTCCGTGATTTGAACTTGAAACAAACAAACATACAAATGAAATTCTTACAAAAAACTCTTCTATAAGGATTATTTAACCATACAAAATGATTCATTTCGTGCGTATACCATTTCAAAAAGATTTGGCACAGAAAAATTGCCCTTTGTGGAAGAGAAATCTAAAAAAAAGTACAAAAATTCATTTTTTTTATTATCATTAATTTCTTTTCCGTTATTATTATTAAATAAGAAAATGTTTTTCTTTATATTTTTTATCTTCTTACAGAACATGATGCCCTTAAGTTTTCATACTTGATCTATATTTCTATTTATATTCTGATGTAAAAAAAAAATGATGAGAAAGAGAAAAAGAAAAAAAAATAACTTAAAATGCCTGGATCATTGATTGACTGAATAATATAGAGCAAGAGATGAGCTCATTTTCATCTAATAATAAGATTAAAGAACAATCGATTGAATAACTTTAGCTTTCGACTACTACATTCTACATATTATATTCCATTTAGTCATCATTTCTTTATATTAAATACATTTAATCAGTTATTAATGAGTAATACATATCCAAAACATATGCTTTTATTACCAAAAGAGAAAAGTATAACTTTATCCATTGAGGACACTCGACCAATCTCATTACTTTCATAAATGGGAAAAATTTACGAAAAATGTTTCATTAGCTATTTAAGACAAATGGATGGACAATTCTGCTGTTCTTCTGGATGAGCAAAGTGGATTTCGCCGGTCTCGTTCCACTTCACCATGATTCATTCCTTCAGTTTTTTCAAAATGCAGCCGAGGCATTGGAAGAACATACAGCAACATTAGCGTTATACATCAATTTTGTCAAAGCATCGAATGCTTTGACGCGATCTTTTCCCACGTAAACGTACCTGATTTTCTGTAAGTTTTTTTTTCTGTGATTTTTTCTATAATCATAAAATATCGACAACCAAATAAGTGGAAAGCAAAGCAGTGAAGAAGACAATGTTTTTACTATTGAAAAGAAGATACAAGTGCAATCTATATATACTTGTATCATATGTAACACATTTTCAAGTGACATACTTCAAGCGACAGGTAGCAACATGGCTTCTATTAGTAGGTTGAAAGACGATGATATTGCAGAAGAATTAAATAGAGAAGTGGATGAAAGTAGTGATAGAGACTAAAATAAATTTCCTGATTTCTAAGATTGTGTACCTAATTTTTATCTGTGGGAAAGGGTTAAATATAGTATGATGAGTCATTATATAAATTAAGTCTTCTCCAGTGTCTCAAAGAACTAATACAATGGATTCAAATGTATTTGACATCATGCTACATCGAAATGAAAGCATCAGCCTCATTTTAAATCTTTAGGTGTTCTAAAAGGAAGTTTTATCAGTCAGATTTTATGTTTTCTCTATCATATCGATCTTTCGATTAGTCTTCGTTTTGCACATCGATCTCAACTTTATGCACATCATCTTTTATTACACATATTTTATTGTATATTCGTCATCTTGATGGAAAAATAAGATCGTCAATAATTTAAATCATCGAGTTTTTGAGAGAGAACTCTTATTTAAAATCCAACAAAGCACAGGAAATCCTCAATGAACTTGAATCGTATTTTAAGAAATGCAAGCAACTGATAAATATTGATAAAACGTATTATCAATCGCTACATCGGAGACCAAAAACGCTAAGCATCATACTGACGATATTAAATGTAGCACTCAAAAGAATAAAGTCACATAAATCTTGTTTGCTGCTATCTACTACTAAATCTCTTTTATCATAACATAGTTTAATTCGACCCAATTTAGCTTCATAGTTGCTGATAAACAGCTTACTGCTTCGAAGTTCTTTTCGTAAGTTGTAAATTTAATATTAAAAGAAATAATTTAATACATACGAATGTTAACAAATGCCAATAAACATTTTTCTTCACATCGACATACTGAGCGTTTAAAAAAAAATAAACACACTCTTTTTAGAAAGAAAAACTGACTACACATTCAAAGTTTAAAAAAAACGAATGAAAGACAATAGCCATACAAATTGTCAATCTGAAAAAAGTTTTCTATCGAACGAAAGGATTTTTTTTAATACAACTATATTTATACACGATCATCCCTTTCTTCTGAATACAATGGAAAGAATACTTGATGCATGAATTTCGAACTAAAGATTGTACGATACAAAATAGCAGTCATTCATCTATTTTATAAGATATAAAATGAGGATCACATATGATGAACAAAAAAAGTTCAAAAAATTGATAGAAAAATAATTTAAACATATTAATAAAATCAATCATTACATTTTGAGGTGTACTTGTAATTGGTACAAAGTGTCTGCAAAGCATAATCTACATCTAACCATTCTTCATTCTATTGTTGCTCTGTTGATTAAAGAAAACTAATAATTAATTTCGTTTGCTCATTGCCTTATCCATGCTACAGTAGTTATGTCTATGGACGGATCATTGTTTAATATGTCATATTTCATTTACCTATGGAGAAAGATTCAAGTTTCAGAATTGATAAAATAGTTAGTTACAGCTGCTGATTTTATTTATTTAAAATTAAATTAAGAAATTTTTTAGAAAAAGTCGACGTTTCGACAATGGTAATTTGCATTTTCAACACAATAACAACGTTTAACACGATGTAAAGTTAAAACGAATATGGCTGAAGAAATAAAACGAGGAGGAACGGATTTTCTTTTTTTTGGAGAGTGAGACAAAAACATATTTTGTAAAATCTAGAATATGCACAAGGGTACGAAGTACAAACGGTAAATAATACATTGAGATGTTATTTTGTTAAGATGAGGACTTATCTTTCAGGATCCGATAGCAATTTTTTAGAAATTTCATTAGGATATATGAGAAGGGGAACTTAGCGTACTACTATTTAATTCTGACTTATATCCTAATATCATTAAAGATTCTTTGATAAGTAAAACACGATAAAAGTTTGAATCGGTCAATAGAATTTTAAACTATTCCAAATAAATCGTATGATTTATATTCGAAATATGTTTTAGAAGAGCTGACTTTGAAATTTTGCTTAAGTATTGTTGCGTCGGATGATTACGTCTCCATCTCGCCAGCTGTCTCGTTTAGTTGTCACTGTCCGTTTATTAGCCACCCAATCGAAAAGAATGTTTTAAATTAGATTCAACTTGATATGGTGGAAAACCAATTTTTAATATTTTTGTATTTTCTTCGAGAACCATTTACAATTATCATTTGAGAAGAAGTATTAGAAGATAAATTAGAGGCAAGAGTTCGTCACAGGTTATTATCGGTAGATATGTCATTTAATTGTTTTTTAACATCATCCATATTTCTAGGAACGCCATGTTAAAAATTAATCTATCGAATCAGATGTAAAATTTTCTTTCGAAAATGGAAATAATAATATTCTCTCATTTCTTGATGTTCAAGTTATACGCATGAGCACAAAATACCAAACTACTATATATAGGAAAAAGACGTTCTCCGGATTAACGATTAAATGGCCTACGTATGTAATCAGTCGACAGGTTTTGAATGAAATGATTAAATTCTTAGTCGAAAATAGATACATTACTCTTGGAACAATTGTGATTCGCCAGATGGTTGGGATACCCATGGATACTAACTCCGGTCCTTATCTAGCAAACTTATTTTTGTATAAATATGAATTCAACTCTATTTTTTAACTGTTTGCTTGTTTTAACCCGCATGTTGGCATCTTCACAACGCAAAATTTGGACATTACTACAAACTGACTTTTCAACAACTAACAACATCATATTTTCTCAACATCAAATTCAACTTCTGATGATGCAGTCTTAGCAATAACAACTGTTAGCTAAGGGAGCGCCATGTACACATGAAAAGATAGTACTAAGATTAAAGCTCCGAAACTATGTGTCTGATTCTTAGCTGATGAGATGCAAGAGAGGAGAAGAAGCGATACTACATTTAATATGTGCCATTGAGCTATAAAACTGGATATATAAGCAGCATGATAGTTCGTGCTATACGTATATGTTCGACATATAAACGTTTTATTTCTTCAGTCATATTCGTTTTAACTTTACATCGTGTTAAACGTTTTTATTGTCTTGAATAATGAAAATTACTATTGTAGAAACGTCGACTTTTTTAAAAAGATTTCTTAATTTAATTTTAATTAAATAAATATGAATTTAAAATCAGCGGCTATTACTATTTTATCAATAATGATTCAAGTTGAATAAGTTTTCATATAATCACGTGCAGCTTGTAAATCTAAAATAGAATTGAATAGCACATGGATTGATATAATAACAACATTAGAAAAAACAGATAGTTTTTAGAGCTGGATTCTTAGAAGACAACAAGTGTATTACCAGCTAATAGAATGCCAAAATTTTCAGCGTGCATTGAAAATGCGATAGATTTTGTTTGTTGTGAATCATCATCGACTGTATAATCATCGTAATTAATATTCATTGTCACTACTGGTAAGTAGACGTCCTATACAAATAAAGAACAAAAAAAGAAAAATCTCTAACAGAATTAATGATAGATATTACATTAACATTATTTATCGCTTTCACATCGTACACATCCCATTGAATATCGTTTAGTTTTGTAACTGAAATTAATGAACAATTAGAAACGGCAATACTATTATGGCCATCATGAGAGAATTACTTACGTCTTAAAATAGATGAACGTAATTTATTTGTTAATTTTTCGAAATTTTCATCATAAACTTTGACAAGACCATTGGCATGTTCTAGAAAACAAACATATTTATATCTAACCATATTGTCGCAGATAATCTTTCTTTAGAAAACCTTTTGGTAAGCCTAATTGAGTTAATTCATTTGACAAAGATGGTCCATCAACAGAATATTTAGCTGACGTCATTAAAATGAACTGTAAAGCCCGAATTGATGCTTTAAGATCATTGCTTTCTAAAAATAAACATATTTGTAAGGTTGAACAACTTTCAATTGGAATGAAAAATTTGTTCAAAATCATGTCCTATTGACATAGTACCAAATTTGTCTCCTGCAAGTTTGTGTGCATCGTCATACTAGAAACGGAAAGAAAATCTTCAAAAACTTGTTAGATAATCGATATATTCAATAATTACATTCAACGTATTAGTCAAGATTGACTGGAGCACTTGCTGACATAATAATTTTAGTTTAACTGAACTCTAAAAGTAGGGAAATAGAGAAAGAAGGAAGCGTGTATGATCTCCTTACTAGTTTGGAGAGTGTGCCAATTTCTGCTAACAACCAATCAGAACAATCTTGATTACCACAAAAACGAAAACGCTATAATAAAACAAGGCACAAAAACATTAATTTAAACGTAGAAAAAAATTGCTCTTACCATCTTCAAATGAGATAAACAATTGTAAATAAAAAATAAGCGTGCGAATATCTATAGAATAACCAGAACACATTTTTGTGCAGTTTTGTTTAGTAAAAGAAGAGTCATATTTCATTTTTTTTTCTCAAAATGTTCAGACACAAAATTCCAACTATGTTTCCGATGAAGAGCTGCTTAAAATTTTATGAAATAGCAGAAATTACTCAACAGCTAATGTTGGTAAAACAAAAACTAGCATTTTACTTGTTAGATTTCCCCTTGGATATTTCATACCATCTTCTACTAACTCTTTCGGTAATAAAGTTATTTAACGAAAGAACTTTCATCGTATATCCTTATTAGGAAGCTGTTCCTATTGATAATGCATTTCAATCGAACTTTTCACAAAGCTAGGCAGGCGTCAAATATGACCGCTGTTTATTTCGAGACTGTTTCAAAACAAAAAAAACAATGAATAACCAACGGTATTTATTGTTCTATATCAACAACAAACAAAACGAGAAAATATTTAACTTAAATCTGGATGTTGTTGACTATTCATTGCTATATTGATGATTCTTTCTTTTTCATTTGTTGTTTGTTTGTTTATGCTTTCGATGTTGATTCTCTTGTTGATGATCGTCGTTTTGATTCACTACGTTTTCTTTCACGTTTTTCTTTCATGTATTGTTGTACTAATTTAGCATATTCATTTTGTAATACACGTTGTTTTTCAGCACGTCTTTTCTTCATAGACAACAAGTGTCGTTTACGTTGTAATCGTCTTGGTGTAATGAGACGTTGAATTTTTGGTGCTTTTTGTCTTGGTTTTTTCCCTTCTTTCGTTAATGGTCGTCGTACGACATATTTTCGGACATCATCTTCTTTACTTAAATTAAATAATTTTCGAATATGATTAGCACGTTTTGGTCCAAGACGACGAGGAATCGTTTTGTTTGTTAAACCGTCAATATCTTGTTCACCACGTTTTATTATAACACATGCTAATACTGATAAATTTGCATCAACAATACATCCACGTACAGATTTTCGACGACGTTCACCATTGCGACTTGGACGATAACATTTATGACGTTTATCCAATAGTAAACGAACACGTTGATTTGTCAAAACACCTTGCATCATTGGAAAACCTTGTTTATCGTTACCACCAGTTATACGTAAAACATAACCATTCCATTCATTACCCAGACAACTTGCATCAACTTCTTGGGCTATTCGTTTTTCCATAAATGGACGAAGTTTACGATCATCATCGATATCAATCAATTTTTGACATCCAGTAACTGGATAGGCAATATTCAATTTCATGTTGCCGATTATCTATCTAAAATAGCAGATAAAAAAATAACATGTGTCAATTTCTAAAAAAGATCATTCATTTTGGAGACGTAACGGAAAAAGACTAACGGCGTTAAGGCTGATAGGTTTTGTGTTAGGCCACAAAAAGATTGAAATAAGTCAAAATCGTTTTTACTGTTACACTGAAATTTAGTGTAATGACGCCAATCTCGTACAAAAGTTTTATAATTATAATTGCCTACAACAGAACTGCATACATTCCACTTATTCGCATGTTTTACTCATATATAACTGAAAGAAAAAACAAATATTTTGTACGTCGATCAGATTCTACTCGATAAGACTGTCGGTTCCAACGTAATACAAGATACGTTCAAATCAACTAAACGTTTTAATATAACGATAAAGAAATTTTTTGTTTATTTTTATTTTTGTATTAAAAACAGCAGAAAATTTTAGCATTCTTCGATTGGAAGGTGCTGGAGACAAATGCGTCACCGGAGCACTATATTGCCTTCATTCTTAGTAGACATGTTCTTACAGTTCTTGTTTCTGTTTTGAAGAAAGGCGCTTCTTCCGCTGACAAATTTCTTCTGCTTTAGTTCAAGCTCAGAAGTAGCAGAGATGTCACCCAAACTTAAACTTTTTAATTGGCGAGATTATTGAACCAATCCAAGCAACTGTAAACCAGATGATTATATAAACGATTGCCGAAATTAACCCGAGAAAAGTACTTGATACACTGCTGTTTGACCTAATAACATTTGAAGCATGAAGTAACTATTTCAGAGGTAAACTCAATTAAACTCGCCTTAAGTAGAATCTGAAATTGATTTTGTCCGGTATACTGAAATAGATAAATTTATTGAAAAAGTATGTAAGGAGATAATACTATAGTGATTTTAGCGATAAGTACATCATAAAAATATTCTATACACTGTGAGGACTGACAAAATTTACTTGGATGAAGAAGTGTAATCAATCAATGTGTGGGACTCAAAGTCATTGTATAGAAAGCTCAGCAATGGTCAGAAAATATTAACAGTCTTATTAAAAACAGTCAGATCTCTCGGACAAACACGAGAAATCGACGATGGAGCTATTGAGTATCGTGACATGCGATAGCGCCATCAGCGACTTTTCGCAATAAGGATTGATTGTCCGAAAAATTTGATCACTATGATCACTATAAATGGAATATTTCATTATTTCGGATTATAATCTTTTTTGGAATGGAATTTTTCATTTTTATTCCTAATTTGAGTATCATACATTAAAAAAGAGTGGACACTTATTTGCGGTCGCTTGTATGATCCATCAAGTGTTAGGCCACACACTAATATTTGAAACAAATAAATTCTTTAATATTAATTCTTGTATTGGTATACAGGGTGCGTAAAAATGTTTTTCCAGGGGGGTAACGCTATAATTGCGAATAGGGTAAGTAATGAATTTTATACCAGATGAAAGCCCGTCGAAAACGGGATTTATTGATGCTAAATAGTAAGTT